GAGGAGGCGGAGGAGGATGAGGAGGAGGAGGATGAGGAGGAAGCGGAGGAGGAGGAGGCGGAGGCGGAGGCGGAGGCGGAGGCGGAGACGGAAGCGGAGGCGGAGGCGGAGGCGGAGGCGGAGGCGGAGGAGGATGAGGAGGCGGATGAGGAGGAGGCGGAGGAGGATGAGGAGGAGGAGGCGGATGATGATGCGGAGGAGGAGGCGGAGGAGGAGGAGGATTAATAATAATAATAACAATAATAATAAGAAAACAAGTAAGAAGATGATGGAACCGAATACTACGAAAAGGAATAATAATAGTACTACGGCGGGTACGCACAAGCATACTACTACGAGCAATGCTAATACTGAAAAGGGTACTGGTACGATGTATATGAAGAGCAAGCGTACTACTACTACGGCTAAGAAGAATGATACACATTTTACTAATACGAAGGCTACTACGGAACATAGGAATAATTCTCAGACTACTATAGTACTGCAGACTGGTAATACTAATACTAAGAATACGAGAACTAAGACGAATCATGCTAATACTAATATTATTACGTCGCAAGAATAAACATTATAATATAAGGAATACTAAGCATACTACGAATAATACGAATAATACTAGTAGTAATACTAATACTGAACATATTACTGATAATACTACTATTCACAAATATAAGCAGACTAGTGATAGCAATAATACGACGACTACGGCTAATACTGTGAATACTAATAATACGAACAGAACACGAATACTATTACGACGAAGACTAAGACGAATGCTAATACGAAGAAACATACAACGAATACTAATACTACTATTACTAATGCGAGCAATACGACGACTAATACGGATACGAAGGATACTCATAATAATACTAAGAATGATACGAATAATAACTATACTAATATTAATAAACTATAATTATAGTACTGATGCTACTAATAATAATACTATTCTTACGAAGAAGACGGCTCATAATAATAAGAGGAAGATTATTAAGAATACTAATAATACTGACTCTAACTCTTTAACAATAATACTGATAAGACTAATGAGAAAGATAATGGTACTACTAATACTCATAATAATAACACCACTAGGAAGAAACATACGAGGAGGAAGAGGAGGAGGATGATGAGGAGGAGGAGGAGGAAAAGGATGGGGAGGCGGAGGCGGAGGCGGAGGCGGAGGAGGCGGAGGAGGCGGAGGAGGAGGAGGAGGAGGAGGAAGAAGAAATAGTAATACTAGTAACAATCACAACACTAATATTAGTTATAATACGAATAATGAACATACTATTACTAATACTTATAATAATGATAGCACTAATAATACGAATACTAATACTGCTACTAATAATATTCTTGCCACTAATAGTATTACTAGTTAAACTAGTAATTTCAATACTACTAATACTACATATACTAATATTAATACCTAGTAGTAACACTAGTACCAATGATACTGGTACTACTCATAATTCTAATCATACGGGTAATACGAAAACGACGAATAATAATAATCTTACCAATAAAAATACTACTAAGCACACTACTACTAATACTAATAGTAATAATACTCGTACTGTTACTAATACTAAGACGAATAATAATACGAAGACGAAGAAGAGGAGGAGGAGGAGGAGGAGGAGGGGGAGGAGGAGGAGGATGAATGAGAACGAGGAGGAGGAGGAGGAGGAGGAAGGAGAAGGGGATGAAACGAGGAGGAGGAGGAGGCAGAGAAGGAGGAGGAGAGGAGGAGGAGGAGGAGAAGGAGGAAGGGGAGGAGGAGGTGGTGGAGAAGGAGGAGGGAGGAGGGAGGAGGAGGAGGAGGAGGAGGAGGGGGAGGAGGAGGAGGAGGGGGAGGGAGGAGGAGGAGGAGGAGGAGGAGGAGGAGGAGTGAAGACGAGGAGGAGGAGGAGGAGGAGGAGGAGGAGGAGGAGGAGGATCGGCTGCACGTTGGAGGGGCCCTTCGCCGCAGTGGCCTCTTGTGCGTTGGGGCGCGTGGGGCCAAACCCGAGCACGCAGGCCAGCACGGTCGCATGGCCTGCAGCGATCGGCAGGCCGCACACCGAGGGCCACCTCGTTCCCAGGGCCTGATCTCCTCTGCGCAGGCGAGCGAAGGGGGGGCAAGCGTGCAGGAAAAGGCCCTCTCCGCAGGCCTAGAGGTTGACACCAACACCAATGTCGGCGGTGTTCCTCCACCGAGGGAAGAAGATCTCGATCTCGGTGATGGTGGTAATATTATGGCTTCCAAGGTGCCCGAAATATTACCACCAACACCGAAATCTGGAATCATCTCCCCCTGTGGATTCAACCCCCTGTCTTGGTGTTGGTGCCCATTTCCAGGCCTCCAACCTCTCAGAATGCGGCGGGACTTCTCAGAAGCCCTCGCGCCTTCGGAGGAGTCCCCGCTGTCTTCGGCGTGGAGGGCTTGGAGAGGAACCCTCTCAGAGGGCCAGGGGACTTCCTTCTCGCTTCCCCCCTCTCGACCGCCGTCGACTCTTCTCCTCCGGGCCGGAGAGGGGAGGCCGCTGCGCCATGGGTCAGAATTCGATGCCGCGGGCCGCGAAGCGGGCCGGCCGCACGCCATGCCGGCCCTCTTCCGCCCCGTCGGCGCTGCGCTCCCCGCGCCGCCTGGATCCGCCCAGCTCCCTGCCGCCGTGCGCGGCTTCCGGCACGCCGCGCGTTCTCTCGGCAGCCGGCGCACAGCATTCTGCACCCCGGCGAGCTGCAAGCTGCGAGCAGTGGCGAAGCGTCCTGGCATGCCTGCAGGCCCACCAGAGAGTGTTCTGAGGACCTGCCTGTGGTCTGCACGAAGGGTGCTCAGAGCATTTTTGGCTGAGCGTGTCTTGTGATAGCAAGCCGGGTTTATGTTCTAAGAGCATTCTTTTCGCGTCTTTGAAAATATCTGGCTTCTGAGAGCATGTCGTGGTAGTGCCCAAAGGAATGCTGGGACGGTTAGTCCCTGCTCACGTAAGAGGCGGGGGTCAATGCAAACGCGGGTTCTGCCACAGCGCCGGATCTTGCAGGATCTTGCCGAGCCAGGAGTGCATTGATCAGTCACGCGCAGAGGGGGGTGGGGGGAGGGGGGAGGGCTTCTTAGAAGCACCCCTGCTTCTTAGAAGGCGCGGGTCTTATCTATGGATGTAAGGCCGGCGCCTTCTAAGAAGCAGCCTCCTTCTACGACGCCCCCCCCCCCCCTCCCTCCACCCCCTTGTGCGCACCGCCAAATTGACCCAGGCTTGCGCGCAGGATCTTCGCAGGACCCTGCAGGACCTGACGGGCCCAGGTTTGCATAGACCTAGGTCAGTGCGTCTCCGACCTTGGCGGGTGAGCGGGGAAAAACAAGGCATCCCAACGTCGACTCCAAATCTTCGGGTACGGTTGGACCGAGGTGTAAGATCGAGGTCGGTTCGGGGAGGGTGCCTTGATGTTCTTCGTGCTTGTTGCATGTTCCTGTGCATCCTGGGGGAGGGTACCCTCGAATGATCTTAGGGTTTGGAGTGCTTTGGCCGGCTGTGGGTCTCATGTTCTTGAAGGACGTTCTTCTGGCCTAGGTCCGACTGTAGCGAGTAGCTTGCCATCGATCGAACGTGTGATTTTTCTCGGCGGGGACCTTCGAGGAGCATTTTGGGCCATCCTGCGAACAGATAAAAAAGCACGCGCGAAAGCGAACACATGCACGGGGAATGGACGCCCGAGCGATTGCAAGGTAGGGCCGTCAGCCCTCCCGCCGATCGTGCGGGCATGACCTGGTTCCATGGTCGACACGCCCGGCGGGGAGCTCGGAGCTTGCCGGGGCGAATCACCAGGCGAGAACCTCTCGGGCAGAAGCATAATCAAGAGGCTTAACCTCACGCTGGGTGCCCCCCTCCTCCTGCTGCTCTTCCTCCTCCTCCACCTCCTCCTCCTCCGCCTCGTAGTCTTAGCTGTCGTCGTCGTGGTTGCGCGGCGGGTGCCGCGGAAAAAGATAATCAGCTACCCCCTGTTGGTGGAAACCCAGTCTTTCAAGAAGGCCGCCGAACAAAAATCAGTTACCTCCTATTGGGGTGGATCCACTCTGCTGAACTTGAAGTCGTCATCTTCACTGCTCGCGCAAACATCCCACCCACCCACCCGCAACTTGCAAAACTCAGACCGACTACGACGACACCGACGACAACGACTAGGACGACACCGACGACTTCGACTTCGACGACGACAACGACGCCGACGCCGACGACGACGAAGACGACGACGACGACGCCAACGAAGGCGACGACGAGGGAGGAGGAAGGACGACGACTGCGACAACGACGACAACGACGACAACGACGAGGGAGGAGGGAGGACGGCGACGACGCGAACGACAACGAAGGAGGAATGACGGCGACGCCGACGACGACAACGACGAGGGAGGAGGGAAGACGACGACGACAACGACGACGACGACGGTGACGAAATAGGAGGGACGACGACGAGACGCCGACGACGGACGACGACGACGACGAGGGAGGAGGAGGAAGGACGACCACGGCGACAACGACGACGGAAACGACCACGACGCCAAAGAGGACGACGACGACGAACACGAGGAAAGACAGAGGACGACGTAGGCGACGACGACGACGACGCGGGAGGAGAGAGGACGGCGACGACGACGACGACGACGCAAGAGCGCGCGCGCACGCTTTTGTTGAAAATCCGTGTTGCGAAACCTTGGGCTTTTGTAGGTTTTTTGGACGCACGAAACCGATGGGTTTTGAAGGTTTTCGTCATACGCCCGCGACGACGCGCGCGTCTGCACTCCGTCACATTTTTTGCAGAGGGTTCTCGCGACGGCACACGCGCAAGGGCGTTCGACAGATTTCGACATGCGCGCGCGCAAAGCCCGTTTGGTAGCATTTTGTGAAAATCTTGAAAAGCCTATGGTTTTCTGAAGATTTCGCAAGAGCTCGCGCGGAAACTTTTTTAGCAAATCAGTGTTGCGAAACCGCGTGTTTTTGTATGTTTTTTTGGAAACTCGATTGCGAAATCCTTCCGGCACCGAAGGTTTTTGAAGGATTTCGGCATGCGCGCGCGACGACGTGCGCGTGTGCACTTCGTCCCATTTTTTGCAAGGGATTCGTGACAAATTATGTTAGAACAAAATATGTCACCGCATAGTGTTTTGTACAAGGGGACCTCATGGGGGGGAACCCGGCCTAGTTGGGATGGTATGATTTCATAGTTAGGATGGACATGTGGTCCTAATCGTATATGATTTACATACCCGAAAGGGGAGCTGATAAGTCTGGGGGGGGGGGGTAGAGTCTATTCTCTTTTTAGAAAAGGAGAATCTAAAGATCGTTAGGGGTCACGCCATTCCTTAATGAATAACAACTTATATCAACATGATTTTCCAACGGTCCGCGCGGATCTCTTGGATCTGCGCTGGGCCCCCTCCCCGGCTCGCGTAGTGCGCCAGGGGCGGTGCCGAAGGCCCCGCGGGGGTCCAGCGCAGATGCAAGAACTCCGCGCGGACCGTCGAAAGTTTATGTTTATGCCGAGTATTCTTCTACACCAGTGAATTCGTCCAGAGTCGTGCGGACCCCAGAGGCCCAATTCCAGGAAAAACCTCCGGATCGAAAAAACATACAGTGGAAACCCATGCCAAGATACACCCTACTTGCCTCCCGGGTGCCCCTGGCTTCTCGGGTTTCGATGGTTTTGCAATGGGAAGCGTGACATTTCCAGAACAAACAAAAACAAGGGACGCCCTGGGGTCGCAGGTTTGGGTTCTTGTGGTCGAGCTCCTTCGGGTGCAACGATGGGGGGGATAGGCGCAGGTCAGGAGGGAAAAAACACACAGACACAATTATTCGTCGATTTCCCGGAAAATGTAGGAAAATATGGGAAGTGGGGGGGAAGACGAAAACCCCCAAAATACAGGAAAATATGGGGAATCTCGTTATTTGTGTGTGTGTGTGTTTATTTGTGTGTCCCAGGGCCCCTTCAGCAGGGGGGGATGCATCGACCCCCGATCGCCCATTGATCGCCGATCGGGGCCCGATGGCCCCACCCTGCCCAGGCCTCGGCGGGCGGTGGCTACGGACCTCGCTCGGAGGAGGCAAAGCTACCCATGCCTCCACCCTGCCCCCGTGTTCCCCTTTTCGGGCCTGAGGGGAGGCCCTCGTCGCCAGCGCTGGGATTCGCTTCGAAATCCTGGTCAGAACGCACCCCGGGAGAGGTCCAGGGAGTGGGGGTATCGGTACCTTTTGGTCTCCCCAATAGCTTGGCCCCTCGGGGGCTCAGATGGGCCCATGTCCACCGCTCACCAGGTCCCCAGGGCGTCGTTTCCTGGGCGGTGGATGCTCAGAGGCGACGACAGGGGCGGAGACCCCAGGGGAGAGAGCAGGACATGCACGCAGGTGCGCCGATGACCTGTGCCTTCGACAAGGCTCCCGGGCGACTGCGTGTGCTGCCCGCCCCCATTGGCTCTTCGCCCCTGTCGTCGCCGCCGAGGCGCTTGGCATCGCTCGGACGTGTGCGTTTTTTCCTCGGCGAGGACCGTCGAGGAGCATCCTCGATCCCTTGGCGAAAAAACCGCGCACGAAGCCGAAAAAAGCACAGGAAAGGGACCTCCCAGCGAGGGCCAGTGTGATGCCCGCCCCTGGGGCTCTTCGCCCCGATCCTCGCCGCCGAGGCGTGCATCGGCCCCCGCCTCGCAGGAGGGCGGGGCCGGCGGCGCGCGGGCCCCCGCCCGGCGAGCGCGCCCCTGCCCCTCGCGCGCGCGCCGTGCCTCGCCCGGGCGGCCCGCGTGTGAGCCACCGCGTGAGGGTCGCCGCGGCCGCCCCCGGCCAGGAGAGGTCGCCGCACCCGGCGAGGCTGTCCCGAGGGGGTCCGAGCAGAGTTCAGTCGGGCCCGTCCCGCTACAGGGGATCTTCAAGGACAGCCAACAGAAATCGTCGGGGGACTATTCTTGGATTTTTTGTAGGTAATTTTTGGTTTTTTTCTGGACTATGTCGAACTTCTCGTCCAGAAATCCGCCTACAGCCTGCAGGGGGACACGCCCGATCTAAGAGTAGATGGGGTCGGAGGATCCTTCCGCATCGCGAGGCCGACTTTCTCCGCGCCCGGCGTCGCCGATGCATCGCCGACGTCGCGTGTGCATCGTCGATGCGTCGGCGATGCATGCGCGACGCACCGCGACCCTCCGACCCCTGTCTACTTGGACCCGATGTCGGAGGCCTCCACATAGGGACAGTCTTTCGGAGGTCCCTGCGGACCTCCGAATGTTCTGCTTGCGCAGATGTTCCTCGTTTTACTCACGCGTGAGACCCTTTTCCCTCCGTCGCTCTCCAGAGCTCCCCCAGAGGTTCCCAGAGGCTCCCAGAGGACCGAACAAGGGCCAAGCGCGTCCGAGAACCTCGAGCCTCGACCCTCGAATCTTGATCCTCGTTTCTCGTCGGATGTATTTTGTCGCTGGGATGCTCTCTGGCCAGCCATTATTTGCCTCACTCGCCTCCCCCACCCCCCGCCCTCCCCTTCCCCAGGGCTTGGCTCTTCTCCAATCGACTTGCGGTGATCAAGCCAGGCAAGCCGAGGCACATCTACGCAAGTCAATGCGCATCCAGATAGATCGACGTAAACGCAGAGATATCCAGATATACGGGCAAGATGTATGTCCATATCCACTGCGTCTTGGACTTGCTTGGGAGGGGCGCCAAACGGCCGTGACGCAATGTACATACCAGACTTTCATCCATACCCATACGACCACCCTTCGGGTGATAAGGAGGTTCAGGGGGGTGGAACCGACGTCTCACTCGATCGGTCTCACTATCGATCTCACTGTCGATCTCACTATCGGTCTCGCTCGATCGATCTCACTCGATCGATCTCACAATCGATCTCACTCGATCTATTTCATTCGATCCATCTCACAATCGATCTGACTATCGTTTCATCAACTTCATCATCATCGGGACACCATCATCATCAGCAGGATCATCATCATCATCATCATCATCATCATCATCATCATCATCATCATCATCATCGGGACACTATTAGCATCGTCACCATCATCATCATCACCATCATCATCATCATCGGGACACCATCATCATCATCAACATCAGCATCATCATCATCATCGGGCCACGAACATCAAACTGATCATCATCACCTCATCGTCATCCTCATCATCATCATCATCATCCTCGGGACATCATCATCGTCATCATCATCATCACTATCATCATCATCATCAACAGCATTATCATCAACCTCATCATCATCATCATCATCATCATCATCATCATCATCGGGTCACCATCATCATCATCTTATCAACACCATCATCATCAACATCATCAGGATCATCAACATCATCATCATCCTTGAGACGCCATCATCATCAGCAACATCAGCATCATCAACATTATCATCATCATCGGGACACCGTCATCACCACCATGGCCGTCATCATCATCATCATCATCATCATCATCATCATCATCATCATCATCGGGACACCATCATCGTCACCATCATCATCATCAACATTATCATCATCGGGACACCATCGTCATCATCATCGTCATCATCATCTCATCATCTTCATGAACAACATCATCAACATCATCATCATCGTCGCATCATTATCATCATCCGCAACATCATCATCAACATCACCATCATTGGGACACCATCATCATCGTCACCAACATCATCACCATCCTCATCATCATCATCATCATCATCATCGGGACACCATCATCATCAACATCAGCATCATCATCATCATCATCGTCATCATCGGTTCACCATCATCAAAAGCATCATCATCACCTCATCATTATCCCCATCATCAACATTATCATCATCATCATCATCGGGGCACCATCATCATCACTATCATCATCAACAGCATCATCATCAACCTCATCATCATCATCATCATCGGGACACCATCATCATCATCTCCAGCATCATCATCATTCCATCATCCCATTATCATCAACATCATCAGGATCATCAACTTCATCTTCATCATCGGGACACCATCAACATCATCATCAGCAACATCATCATCATCAACATCATCATCATCAGGACACCATCGTCATCACCACCATGGCCATCATCATCATCATCATCAACATCGTCATCATTATCATCATCATCATTATCATCATTATTATGATTATCATTATTATTTTTTTATCCCCATTATTATCTTTATTATTCGTATTATTCGTATTATCATTAGGATAGTATGCTTATTATTAGGATAATCATCATCATCATCATCATCATCATCATCATCATCATCATCATCATCATCATCATCATCATCATCATCATCATCATCATCATCATCATCATCATCGGGACACCGACGGGACAGCGGCTGGACACTGGCGGGACACCGCGCGGCACCGGCCCCCGGACAGGAAACATTTGGTCTGGCCGCGCCTCAGCCAGAGGCGGGACACTTCTCGCCCGCCCACGCAGCTTCGCCTCGCCCGCACGCACGGCACGCACGAACACGAAACCGAAACCGACTTCCCGGCATGGGGGCTCTCCGTTCCATTTCGATCTCACCCTCACCTCCGATCCACTACGCCTCGGTTGTCTGGGGAAGGGAGCCCCGATTACCAAGATGCAGTGGATACGGATA